TGAGATTTGTGTTTTCTCCCACAATGCCGGTGTCTCCAGAAAGCTATTTGAGGGGGCAGAGCCCAGGGCCTGGGCGAGACAGTGAGGCGATCCTTTTGGAAACAGGACTTCTTTCTCTTGGAGAAGGAACGCTCAGCCAGCTTCTTCAGATGCCACCAATCTATAACTGCCTGTGTATCACATTCACCATCTACGTACTTTAAATCTTGGGACAGCATTTGTTTTATCCTGGAAACCGTGACAGCCCTATTTTTAGCCGGAGGGCCCCTTTTCTCTCCTTTAATCCTACTTTGAAATATTATCTGTGTAGACTGGAGGTTGTTCACAGAAAGGCCCATTAGAAGCCTCAGTCCAAACGTGGTCTGGGAGATTAGCGTTCTGAGGCACAGAGAGGTTAGGGCCTAGCGGTAAATCATACAGTTGCTTAGCGGTGAACCTAGGCTCCAATCCCGGGATACGCTGACCTCCAAATTCATGCCTCTTCCCACAAACTCTACTACAGTGTAACACAATGTAGTAGTTAGCCATCTGATCTCCAAAGACAGAGGGCTCTGGGAAATTCCAGTTTTATGGTCATTTAATATGTGCCATGGCAAGTCACTTAACCTCTCTGAGCCTCGATTTCCTTATTTATACATTGGGGATTATGGCAGTAACTAACTCTGGGATTAGGGTGAGGCTTGAATATGCTAGGGGCAACATACATTTACATTATGATATTGCACTGTTCCTGTTTCACACACAATCGAGTGGATCTGTAATAACTGTATTCACACCATCACCCAGAAATCGACAAGAAAGGATTGTTCTCAAACCCACTGTGCATAGGAAAATTGAGTCCCCTCACCCCCGCCAGATGACATAACTTGCGCGACATCAGTTTCAAAAGTAAGCAGATAGGTGGAGGCTGCAGTGAGCCATGTGCGTGACACTGCACTCCAGCCTGGGTGACAGAGTGAGATCCTGTCTCAAAAATAAATAAATAAAGGATATTCTCAGCATTAAGAAGTCTTAAATATCCTCCCCACCATACCTGCCAAAGTATGGGTTGAACTAGGAGTAAAAGTTACCTCTTCCCTTCCCCCTGCAGAGCAGAACCACAAATACACCAGCACATATGCCATAGCCCTTTCTTGTAAACTGGAATCAGCACGGAGCCTGGCACAGAGCAGAGGCTCAATGTAGTTTTGAAGAATGGGTGAATTACTGAATGAATGAAAATCCCAATCTGCTAAGAATGGTACAGCCTGAAGCAGGCGCCTTGTTGCAGAAAGCAGTTGCCAGAAAGCAGGCAAGAGCTCTGGTAGCAGCAAGCAAGAACCCTGTTCTTGCCTTAGACTGTTCTGTAGGAGGAAACCTTTGACGAGGTCAATAGACCTCTGATCTCAATGGTCCATCAAGGGCGTCTCCCAGTCCGGCCCACATGGTCCAATCCAGGACCCAGGAGGTAACTGTGAAGCACACGTGACCCTCTTCCAGCTAAAACAGATGTAATAACATTGTGGGCCAGGGAGAGGTTCCATCTGTCTTCCTAATTGTCAACTCTGCCCATAATAAGGTTTTTCTCCCTGTCACTCCTTAGGCTGCTACTGAACTGAAGCAAAACCAAGATCACCATCTTCTAGCCATGAGCAGTGGCCTTCATAAAGTACCAGGGGCGAAAAGAGGCTGCTTGGCTAAGCGGAGCAGACAGAGCTGGAAGGTGCTTTAAACCGCAAGTCAGGAGCTTGGGAATGGCTACACTCAGCAAGCTGTGGGTACACAGGCGGTCACCGCATTCACTGAGCCTCCATTTTCTGTAAAATTCAAGTCCAAAGTTCCGGAAATCGGTTAGTGGAGGGGGGAGCTGTGAATCATGTAATATCGTATGCAAGATATTTTAGGTTTTACTCAGTTGGAGGAGAGTATCCATAATTTTCATCAGAATCTCAAAGAGACATGCAATAACCACCACTTCCTCCCCACATAAAAAAAACGTAAGAAATAATGGACAGGACAGTTTCCACCCAAGAAGCACTTTTTAAAAACACTTTCGATGTGCCCTGCTCTGTGCTAGGTACTTGAGACATAAATATAGGTGAGTCTTGCTTTTTTTTTTTTTTTTTTAGACAGAGGTCTCAGTCTGTCACCCAGGCTGGAGTGCAATGTTACGGCCCTGGCCCACTGCAACCTCCACCTCCTGGGTTCAAGCAATTCTCGTGCCTCAGCCTCCCGAGTAGCTGGTACTACAGGGGCATGCCACCACACCTGGCTAATTTTTGTATTTTCAGTAGAGACAGGGCTTCACTATGTTGGCCAGGCTGGTCTCGAACTCCTCACCTCGTGATCCACCCACCTCAGCCACCCAAAGTACTGTTATTACAGGAGTGAGCCACTGGGCCCAGCTGAGAGTCCTGATTTTAGGGTGCTTAGTGTAGTTGATGTTTGCTGTGACAGAAGCATGTCCAAGGAGCTTTCGAAACAAAGAGAAGGCAGCATTTGCCTCTGTCTTGTCAGGAAGGGCCTTCTTGGGGTGATAAAAAACCTTATGCTTAATGCTGAAATTCAAAGCTAAGAGTGCATTCACTGGGTAGACAAGAAGAATATTTTAGACCAAGGGTAGTATGTGCAAAGGCAACACGTGGCCCAGGAACTACTTGAAGCATAATTGTGCTGAAAAGAGACGGCGCTCATCGCAAGGGTCTGGGGAAGTGTTAGAACCAGAAATGAGGCTGGGAAGGCAGGTAGGGCCCAGGCCAGGAAGCGCCAGGTATGCCACCCTAAGGAATTTTACACTGTAGGCAAGTTCTTTTCCGTTTTTAAAGTCTAGGATGAGCCACCACTCCCAGCACACATCTTCCTAAATGTTGGGTAGAGGTTTTGTTCAGCTGTGAGCTGAATGGACATTAGAAAATGAACTGCTGCTCTTGGCACCATGAGTGGGCATGGGCTGTCTGACCCAGGTGCACACATGGGGCAGAGTCCAGCAAACTGCTGCTCTTCCCTCCCTCTCTTTCTCCCCACACCATGAGCTAGCCAGGGGCTTCCAACTGCTCATTATTTTATGTCATTTTATTTTGTTTTGTTTTATTTTTTTGAGACAGAGTCTTGCTGTGTCACCAGGCTGGAGTGCAGTGATGCGATCTCAGCTCACTGCAACCTCCAGCTCCCTGGTTTAAACTATTCTCCTGCCTCAGCCTCCTGAGTAGCTAGGATTACAAGCATGGACCACCACACCTGGCTAATTTTTGTATTTTTAGTAGATACGGAGTTTCACCATGTTGGTCTCAATCTTTTGACCTCGTGATCTGCCCACCTTGGCCTCCCAAAGTGCTGGGATTACAGGCATGAGCCACCACGCCCGTCCCCCAGCTACTCATTATTACAGTTCAGAAATGAAGGCACTGACTGGACCAGTCAATGGGATGTGCAACTGAAGGACTGCCCGCCTGGGCCCCTGGTAGGAGCTCAGCCAGTAAAGACTTTCAGGTCTTCTAACTCACTCTGCTACACACCTTAGGCCCTCTTGTTACATGCAGCTCCTCCTGCCTAGAAGGCTCCTTCCGCACTCTCCTGTCATTCTGCAGACTGAGCCACTACTGGACCTATCAGGTTCTCAGGGTATCTAGTCCTTTCAAAGAACCCAGCACTGGACAATTCTCTATTTATGTGAGTAATTCGAACCGTGTTGGTGTTGGCCATCGGAACGCAAGCTCCGTGAGGCCAGAAAGTGCCAGTTTCGTTCACTTTTGTACCTCACTACGTTGGCCAGTGCCTGGCACAGGGTATTTGTTGATTGCATCAAAGTCTAGTCTCATCCAGGAGCCATTTCCCAAAACTCACTTTCCCCAGGTCACATAATGGTCCACTGAGGTGGGAAGGCTAAGCTTGTAAAGGCATTATAAGAACAGACTCTGCCTCTATTCCCAGTGTCTCCCTCCTGTGTTGTTTTGAGAGACTCTAAGCAACCTGGCTTGATTTACTCAGCCAAGTCCTTGGGAATCGTGTTTAATTCAAGATGCTTTCTTCCCAGGCCTCAGCCAGGTTACTGGCTGCATCTGATCCTCCTCTGGCCCTATAAGGTGGATAGGACTTTACCCAGGCCTCAGGGGGTCCTCCTCCCTCTCCTGGAATCTCCTCCTCCCTCTCCTGGAAAATACTCCCTCTTTGCCCTAAAGGCTTGCACCCCAGAGAGCTTGGAAACTAAGACTTGCATTTGGCAACCCTGAAGGATGCCCAGGGCAAGAGTTAGATTCAGACCCAGCGTAGTGGCCATGAGCTCCACTTTTCAACTCCCATTTCTGGCCAATCTGTAGAGACAAAGTACCCGGAATCACAGGTTTGACCTTACCGGAGAGGCAGAAGGGAAAGGAGCTCACGAGAGGCAGGCGGGCTCGGCAAAGCGCCCTCGGCGGCGTCTAGGGCACCCGGATCTGCACCATTGCCTCCACCCAAGGTCGTGGCCCAAAGGGAGCGCTGGAAAGTTCAGCCAGAGGCCAAGGAGTGCCAGGGTTGGCAATACGGGGAGACTTTTGCGACAGGAGAGAGACTAACAGCTCGATTCCAGGTGGTAGTGGAAGCCCGAGGCAAAGAGCCCCCAGTCCCGCAGGCTGCATCCCCGACCGACCGCAGCGCCCCGCTCGGAAAAGCTGGGCGGGGGCTGCACCACCTGAGCCGCAAGGACAGCACGGCATCCCCTTCCTCCATCCCCAGAACTGGGGCGCAGAGAGCCAGTCTGGGCTGGAAAGGGAGCGGCGCCCACCCTTGGGCAACCCGAGCAGCCCCCCTCTTTTGCTGTCGCAGACCCTAGACTGCGAGGCGGGGGCGCCAGGTCGGCCTAAGCTGGCGCAGCCACTGCCTTAAAGGGAGACGGGGACGCCGCGCTGGGGAGGGGGCGAGGCGGGTGGCGGAGGCGAGACGAGAGTGGTCGAGCGCCCGGGGCCAACACCCGGGTCGCGCAGGGCGGTGCTGGAAACCCCAGCAGACGCACTGCCGGAGACGGGGGTCGCAGAGTCCCTTACCTCGGCGAGCTGCGGAAGTCCTGCGCGAGGCGGCCCGCGGTGCCCAGGGCCGGGGCAGCTAGGCGCACACCCCGGCTTCGGGGCGCACGCAGCCTCCGGGTGCACAGTCCGCGTCCCAGGCGCGCACCCCCAGGCTGGCGCACCCTGGTCGTCCGCGGCGCTCACACCCTCCAGGCGCCCTCTGGCCGGCGGGCTCGGCCCTGGCCCCGGCGCACCCCTGCGGACACACCCACCGCGGCGGATGCGGGACTGGCCAGGCGCCACCAGCCACGGCTTCGCCCCGCGTCGCCAGCTGCCAACAGAGCCAGAGTCCCCGCCTTCGCTAGGGGAGAAAAAAACACTCCTGACGCGGCGCGGGCTTTGGTGTGTAGCAAGGGGCAGAATTGCGAAATCGAGGGGAGGGTCTTAGCCTAGATAAACTCAAAAGCCCTTGATAAACATGAGCTTAGAAGAAAAACTTTTTGAGAAGAGACCAAAAACTCCTAACCTATGCATAGCGCTTTTCAGATTCCGAAAGTGGTTTATCTCAGTTCATCTAGATGTTTCCATCCTCATTTGATAGGTGCGGGAACAGCATCAGACAACGTAGCGATTTGCCCCAGCCAGAACTGAAACCCAGGTCTGGCCACTCAGAAGCTGGGTGCCGCAAGTGAGGTCCTCACCAGGATGGGAGGCAGTGAGGGCTGGGGTCATAGTAACAGAACTGTTACCTCTCCTAAATCGTCTTTTTCCATTTCCTTTTTTCCTTCCCAATCTTTGCTGTAGTCCCACTCAGGAACCCTGTCTTTTCACTTCACAGTCCCACCTCCCACCAAAGGTTTTGTTGTTTTTTGAGCCAGAGTCACTCTGTAGCCCAGGCTGGAGCACAGTGGCGCGATCTCGGCTCACTGCAATCTCGGCTCACTGCAATCTTGACTTCCCGGTTCAAGCCATTCTCCTGCCTCAGCCTTCCAAGCAGCTGGGATTACAGGCGCCCGATACCGCGCCCGGCTAAGTTTTGTATTTTTAGTACAGATGGGGTTTCGCCATGTTGGGCAGGCCGGTCTTGAACGCCTGACCTCAGGTGATCCATCCGCCTCGGCCTCCCAAAGTTTTGGGATTACAGGCGTGAGCCACCTCGCCTGGCCCCGTTGAAGTTTTTTTTTTTTTTTTTTGTATCAGTCCAAAATGTTTGCGTTTCAACCGCTAACCTTGAATGAGCAGCTCACTAAGGGCCTGGTAGGCATTGTGCACCATAACCCTAGGAGAAAGGAGCTGCTGCTACTGCTCCTTTATAGATGAAGACATCGAAGATGGGGAAGTAAAGGGCTATGGAGCCCGTGAGACAACAGATGCCAGCTCTGACCCCCGTCATGGGCATCTTTCATGGGCCAATTGGCAAGAGCTAACACTTAAAGGGGTTTCCTTTGACACTGTGACCCAGATGGGGAAGTACTTTCTGGGACTTTCATTTTCCGTTTTTGTAGAAATGTGACTTCGGATGATTTCACTTCCACTAGAGCTCCACTGGAGCAAATCAATATCTCAGAGCAATAATAAATGGCAGCGGAGTCTTGGTCCCAGTGTTGGGCCGTAGTAGGGAGTGGTGTGGATTGTGGCGAGCCAACATCAGCTCCAGGCTCTTGCCCAAGGGAAGGGGCTGCTGCTACTCAGCTCAGTCTGTTTTGCCATCTAGGGAAAGGGATTACAGTGGCCAGATCCTTCCATTTTTTATTTTTATTAAAAAATTTTTTTTTTTTTTTTGAGACGGAGTTTCGCTCTTGTTACCCAGGCTGGAGTGCAATGGCACGATCTCGGCTCACCGCAACCTCCGCCTCCTGGGTTCAAGCAATTCTCCTGCCTCAGCCTCCTGAGTAGCTGGGATTACAGGCACGTGCCACCATGCCCAGCTAATGTTTTGTATTTTTAGTAGAGACGGGGTTTCACCATGTTGACCAGGATGGTCTCGATCTCTCGACCTCGTGATCCACCCGCCTCGGCCTCCCAAAGTGCTGGGATTACAAGCTTGAGCCACCGCGCCCGGTCTTTTTTTTTTTTTTTCTTTTTTGAGACGGAGTTTCGCTCTTGTTACCCAGGCTGGAGTGCAATGGCGCGATCTCGGCTCACCGCAACCTCCGCCTCCTGGGTTCAGGCGATTCTCCTGCCTCAGCCTCCTAAGTAGCTGGGATTACAGGCACACGCCACCATGCCCAGCTAATTTTTTGTATTTTTAGTAGAGACGGGGTTTCACCATGTTGACCAGGATGGTCTCGATCTCTTGACCTCGTGATCCACCCGCCTCAGCCTCCCAAAGTGCTGGGATTACAAGCTTGAGCCACCGCGCCCGGCCTTTTTTTTTTTTTTTTTTTTTTTTTTTTTTTTAAAGACAGGTCTCACTATGTTGCCCAGGCTGGAGGGCAGTGGCTATTCACAGACATGATCCCAATACTGATCAGCACGGGAGTTTTGACCTGCCCCGTTTCTGACCTGGGCCGGTTCACCCCTCCTTAGGCAACCTGGTGGTCACCTGCTCTCAGGAAGTCACTATATTGATGCTGAACTTAGGGTGGACACCCGATCGGCATAGCACACTACAGCCCAGAACTTCTGGACTCAAGCAATCCTCCCACCTCAGCCTCCCAAGTAGCTGGGACTACAGGCACGTGCCATAGCGACTGGCCATATCCTCCTATTTTTAAAAAGAAGGCTTCGGCCAGACGCAGTGGCTCATGCCTGTAATCTCAGCACATTGGGAGACTGAGGTGGGTGGATCACCTGAGGCCAGGAGTTCCAGATCAACCTGGCCAACATGGTGAAACTCCATCTCTACTACAAATACAAAATTAGCCAGGCATGGTGGTGTGCACCTGTAATACCAGGTACTTGGGAGATTGAGGCAGGAGAATCACTTGAACCGGGAGGCGGGGGCTGCAGTGAGCCAAGATTGCACCACTACACTCTAGCCTGAGCGACTGAGCAAGACTCCATCTCAAAAAAAAAAAAAAAAAGAAGCCATAAGTCAGATACTTAAGTGAAGTCCCCAAATTTATTAGGAGCTCATTTGTATAATGCTACACACTACAGTTAGAGAGATTCAGTATTCGGGTCACAAAGATGTAAGTTTGAATCCCACCTCCAATGAACAACATTGTTCAAGCCAAAGGAAATGGGTTTAGGGATGAGATCCAGCCTACAGGCCAGAGGTTTGTGCTCTCATGTTTGGGGGCACTTCACACTATTTTCATTTGGGCTTCTCAACATCCCTGTGGAATAAAGCCCACAGTGTGGGTCATATTTCCATTTTAGGGAAGAGGAAGCCCAAGTCTAGCCCAAGGTCATATAAGCGAACTGGGGGAGCTGGAATTGAAACCAGACATTCCACAACCCCTGGTCCTGGAAACTTTTCCCTGGGCATTCTCTGATCTCACAGAGAATTTGTTTCTTGGTTCTGGGCATTGTGAGCCAAGTTAGGCATGGGGCTGGCACTGGGGTGTGGAGACAGCACCTTTCCTGGGAAGATGGAACAGGAGTGCCAGACTGCTGTCCTCGAAAGCAGGAGACCAGCCTGATGACTCAGAGATGAGACTGTGTCTTGAGGGTAAAGCTGAGTCAGAGAAAGCAAGCTCTGAACTGGGGCAGTCGGAGCTTCTGAAGCCCAGATTAGGGTACTGAGAAACTGGGAGAAAAACAGGCTAAGCAAATCCATTCTCCCCAACCCGACTCCCTCACCCACCTCCCCACCCCGCCACACACACACACACACACACACACACACACACACACACACAGAACCAGAAGCCGCAGACACCGAGACACCAGCAAGAACATTGCCTACTATTCCTGTGATGACAGGAAAGCATCAAGAGTTAGTCCCTCGTGTGGTCCTGGAAAGGGAAACTTTTTCTGGCAGCAGTTCTCTGGAATCTCAGGTTGGGGCATCATCACAGCAGGACCCAGCCTGGGCCTTTCAGACAGAGTGAGAGCACTCATGCTGACAGCTGATTTAGAATGACTGGACACAATGCTACTGCAGTCTGAACCTCTGTAATCAAAGGACTGAGCAGCAGACAGAATGGGGTATCTCTCCACCTTTGTTGGAGTTTGGGGTCATGTGTAGGAGGATTAATACTAGTCACCAGTGTGAACCCAGGAAATCTGAGGCAAGTCTTAGTTAATTAGAAAGTTTATTTTGCCAAGGTTGAAGACATCCCTGTGACACAGCCTTGGGAAGTCCTGATGACATGTGCCCAAGGTGGGGGGAACACAGCTTGGTTTTATATATTTTAGGTAGACATAAGACATCCATCAATATATGTAAGAAGTACATTGGGGTCGGGTGCGGTGGCTCACACCTGTAATCCCAGCACTTTGGGAGGTCAAGGCGGATGGATCACAAGGTCAGGAAGTTCCAGAACAGCCTGGCCAAGATGGTGAAACCCTGTCTCTACTAAAAACACAAAAATTAGCCAGGCGTGGTGGCAGGCACCCATAACCCAAGCTACTTGAGAGGCTAAGGCAGAGAATTGCTTGAACCCCAGAGTCAGTGGTTGCGGTTAGCCAAGATCATGCCACTGCACTCTAGCCTGGGTGACAGAGTGAGACTCCATCGGAACAGCAGCAACAACAACAACAACAACAACAACAAGTACTTTGGTTCGGTCTGGAAAGACTGGCCAACTTGAAGCAAAGGCAGGAAGACTAAGTGAAGCAGGAGGGAGCTTCCAGGTTGCGTTCTTTTGAGTTTCTGATTAGCCTTTCCAAAGGAGGCAATCCGATATGCATCTATCTCAGTGAGCAGAGGAATAACATTGAACAGAATGGGTGGCAGGTTTGCCCCAAGCAATTTCCAGCTTGAGTTTTCCTTAGTGATTCTGGGGGCCCAGGGTATTTTCCTTTCACACTGTCTAACAGGTACCAGCATTTCACATACATGACACAATCTCGCTGGGACTCACAACAAAACTGTGAAAGAGCTGTTCTCTTACTGAGGATATGAGGCACAGTGTCACTTGTCTGAGGACACACAACTGGAAAATTAGGGAGGTGGTATTCAAACTTACATCTTTGTGACCCAAATATTGAACCCCTCTAACTATAGGCCTGGAAACTGGGGCCAATGTGGAGATGTATCACTCAGATCTCACTTTAAGACAGGACTGTCCGGCTGCAGCCCCTGTGGTTTGCTGGCACCCCCAAGTGTGGTGAGCTCCTGCGGTCAGTGGTGTGTTGATAATGTTTAACAACCAGCTCTTAGTGGGGAGAAATGTGTGCATATATGCAGTGGGTTCTCAGTATTCTCTGTAGTTCTATAAGCTCTATAAAGTGGC